GGCAACAAGAAAAGAGGCTAAAGAAATGAGAAGGGGAGGGAGGAAGGGTGGAGGGAGAGTAATTGGTGGGACCACACCTACGGTGCGTCTTACAAGGGTACAAGAGGAATTTACTAGGTGTAGAACATAAATGTCTTAACACAATAACTAAGAAAATGCCATGAAGTTAACCAGTTTGATGAAAACATTTCAAATTGTATATAAAACCAGCACATTGTACCCCAATGATTGCATTAATGTACACAGCTATGATTTAATTAAAAAATAAGAATTAAATAAAAATTTTAAAAAGACATGAGAAGGAATAAGGGGAAGGGGAAAGTGTAGGATCCTCTGCAGGAGCGAACATGCAAATAAGGTCATTTTAGTAAATATCAAAAGAGACAAAAAGTTAAAACTGTAGGAAAGGAGAGGAGATATGTCTTATCTAGCACAGAACATCCAATCATTGCATATTAAAGCCGTCACGAGACTTCAGAATCATGGAAGTGTCTGGCAAATGGCTGATGCAGATGAGAGTGAAACTTCACCACTAGAATGAGAAATGCTCTGAAATAATACTGATTAGCATATTTTCACGCTTAAGAGGAAAAAAGCAACTGAGATTACCCTGAAATATTTTTCAGCAGTCTCACTTATAGTAAAGCACATTGCAGGAACTTGAATGGAATAAATTAATATTGAATTCTTTTTGGAGGGGTCAGGGGTTACTGAATTTTGGTGAAGGCAATCTGACTATTATAATAAGAAATGAAAAAGTTGAAGCACATGATGACTGGTGTCAGAGAAGGTTAGAAAAAAAACTGATGTATGAGAGCCTACCTGCCAATTGCAAAAATCATTCTTTGACCGCAGATTCACAGGAACAAAATTGAACCTGGAGTCAGAAAAAAAGCTATACCCAATCTCAATTCTAGGACTTACTACTGACTATTGTGAAGGTTTTAGTTTTACTGAGACTATTTCTTTATCTGTACCTATAAATAGTGTGATAATTTTTTATTTTCATTATTACTGATGTGATATAGCTATACCCAGTAAATGGGAAACAAATGTACATTTGATTTTATATGCAGATAATGATCATGTCTTTAATTGTGCATTATCTGAAATTTTCCATAGTTTTGATTTAATTTGGATTAGTCAGCATTTTATTCCTCTGTCATTCTCTAATTGCTTGTTAGTTATACATTTATATTTGTCCCTTAGACTTCAGGGATTAAAGCATTCTGATCAATATGGATACTTCTACCACTGACTGCTCCCATCTTCTTTCATGATGCAAGAATAAATTCCACTCAATAGTAAGGATGGGAAATCTAAGACTCCAGGACTCAAATTTGAATTTAGCAATGTATGCTTACAATTCCATGCTCTTTCCACCACTCTCAGTTGGCTACTATACATGAAACAGAAATCCTTCCCCAAATTAAGCCCAAATCTGCTTGGTTCTATCAATTGGAGCTACAACAAATGAATCAAATCCTTTCCCTATCTGATGATATCTCAATTGTTTGATAAAACTCTCACATCACCCCTGAGAATGCTCCTCTTCAGATCTAACACCCCCAGAGTATTTTGTTGTTCTTAATATGACTGTTTCCCAGATTCTCTGCTATCCTAAAAGCACAATTTTGGAAGCTCAACAAAAGTTAGTCATTTTCACTCCTAAACTATGAATTTAGAAAGACCCATACTCTGCTGTGGTTGTCAGTAAAATAAAGGCAGATAGAATGTTCTCTGAAACACTAGCAGTGATAACAAAGCAAATAATGAAGAAAAATCAATACAAAATACCAAACAATAGAATGGAAAGATATAATATATAGCATATGACTTGGGGCACCACTTTTTTTAGCAAGTGAATTTGATATTTCTTCATTTCAGATATAATATTAAAATCAAGTGATGCTTTACTAAGAATGTGTTTCAACTCCAACCCGGTTAACTGGTTAATACAAAAGATACACATCCTTTGTATCAGTAAAACCTACGACTAATTTATGTACCATATATATGCATATATATATATATCCAATTTTTTGAGAATGAATTATTACCATGGCACTGGATATAGTATCCCATTCACATAATAAAATTCATGTAAACCTCTGTGTCTGTCCTAAATCATAGTGTATCTGTATAAGAACTTAGAAGACCAGTCACCATTACCTCCTCATTTTACTAATATGAAGATCAAAACCCTGAGAGTTGGGTGACACCTGTGGCTCAAAGGAGTACAGTGCTGGCCCCATATGCCAGAGGTGGCAGATTCAAACCCAGCCCAGGCCAAAAACTGGGGAAAAAATTAATAATAATAATAATAAAACCCTGAGAGTTAAGTGGCTCATACAAAGTCAGACTGCTCTTAGAACAAACCTATGAAGCAGGAACACACTATCCCCCTCTCAAAAAAAGAGACAGAGTAGGACCTCATAAAAAGATATCCCAAGTGCTTAAGTAGTTCCAAACTAAAAAGTCCACTTTCTAACAGTGGAAGAACATGAATTATTCTACAACTGATTAATGCAGAGAAAAGAAGGAAAAATAATCATTCTAATAAGTTTTATGATGTCCTAATCTATATTTAGAATCAATAAAATGCCATTCTGGTTCATTTTAAACCACCTTGCATTTATTACTTCCATCCAAGGCTTAAAAGGGTTTAATTTAAAATCTGTTTAGAGGCAATAAATATCACACAGTTATTACAATTCCATAGAAGAACACTTTCAGAATGTAATTCCCTCAACGCGTATCAGAAATTTATAAACTTCCCATCAGAGATAGTGAAAAATTTTGATAATGAAAAATAACCTTGTTTAACTCTTGTGAGTCACAGGGAATAGCTGCACAGTATTATGTGGGGAAATTAGAAGAGATAACATGGGTTCCATGACTGGTTTACTAGAACTTGCTATTTACAATCTATACTACATTGTGAAAAGATTATGAGAAAATTAAAAAATACAAGTATTCCAGATGGAAAATCCAGGAGAGGGTCGGCGCCTGTGGCTCAAAGGAGTAGGGCGCCAGCCCAATATGCTGGAGGTGATGGGTTCAAACCCAGCCTTATCCAAAAACTGCAAAAAAAAAAAAAAAAAGAAAGAAAGAAAAGAAAATCCAGGAGAGTGTACTTAGGTCCATACTGAGAGGAGAGAACAGATTAAGCTTCCTGTTTATCTTGTGTGCTGGAGACTTCAACCGAAGTTTTACAGTGAAATACAACAGGGTGCAGGCTGTTATTTATTCAGAGCCGAACAGCCACCATGTTTTTCAGCACACACGGATTCTCTGGGCTGTTCTCCACCACTACAGAAGAAATGGCATCACAAGACTTTCATTCCCACATTTATCTGGACAGCCAGGCAACTGTCATGATTCATTTCCACATCAATATCTGATTCACAAGATAATATGAAAGACATCTGTTACTGGAATTTGTTGGAGGTTACAACTACTTCCTGGTGTATATATTAGTTATGTGACTAAACATATCATCATCTGGAGCTGGGGTCTTCACAGAGCCACAGTTAATAAGTTGTGTTAAATAATGTCAGAGAGGAAGATGTGGTGACTCACACCTATAAATCTCAGCACTTTGGAAGGCCAAGGTGGGAGGATGGCTTGAAGCCAGGAGTTTGAGATCAGTCTAGGAAAGAAAAATAAAATAAAATAAAATAAAAAGGTAAAGTTGAGCATGGTGGCATGTGCCTGGAGTCCTGGCTACTCAGGAGGCTGAGATAGGAGAATCACTTGAGCCCAGGTGCCTTAGTTCAAGCCTGTACTAAGCAATGATCGTTCCACTGCACTCCAACTGGGGGAACAGAAGAGACCTTGCCTCTAAAATAATAATAAAATAACATTAAAGAAAGGCAACATTAAGTATTAAGAGCCCAAGGTACATCCGGACTTTACAACTTACAATACGAGTGACCTTGGGCAAACCTCAGTTTTGTCACCTACAAGAGGGATGATAAAACCATCCCTCTCAAACAAGATTGTTGCAGAGATTCAGTGAGTTAAGATGTATCATCCACAGAGCCTGACATATTATAAGCACTCAGCAGATGTTAGTTATTAGCAGCATACTTTATATAGTGTTAATAAAGGGAGTGAGTTACAAAACAAAGTGAATTTTAGTCATTAGATTGGACTTCAAATATGTTATTGAAAATCACACAATCTTATTTTAAGGATTGACATTTCTTTATTGATCAAACATTGGTAAAATATGTTTGTAATGAACATCTCCACTATCACAACTCAAATGATATATCATCTCCCTAGAAAATTCACCTACTTGAATTATAATAAAAGAGTGAAATGGAAGGAGAGAGAGAAGGGGATGCAGAGATGATGGCATGAAACAGGTCTATGTTAAGGTGCCAAACACAGTTGAGAAGTATGACATGAGCTATTTGCTACCTCTAGTACATCCTATCAGTGTTTTTGTTTTTTATTAAATCATAGCAGTGTACATTAATACTATCATGGGGTACAGTGTACTGTTTCTATATACAATTTGAAATACTTTCATCCAACTGGTTAACATAGCCTTCATGTCTTTTTCTTAGTTATTGTGTTAAAACATTTATATTCTACATAGGACGAACCATAGGTGTGATCCCACCAATCACCCTCCCTCCACCCACCCTCCCCCATTTCCTCCCCTCCATCCTATTAGTGTTATCATCCTAGATAGCTCACCACATTTCTAATCATCTAATCACAACTATCTCTAGGGAGATGGTTCTGATAATTCTGGTGTATGTTCATATGTTCTAAAATAAATGCTTTCTTTCCATATGGCCTCTCTCTCTCTCTTCGCCCTACTCTCTATATATACATATGTACACATATGTGTGTATATATATTTTTATATACATGTTATATATATGTATATTTGCAATAGTGTCTCGTTTAAGATAAATCATTAAAAAGTCAAATTATATACTGTAGTAATTTATTACTAAGAATATATTTGTCTTTATATTTAGGACTGGAGAAGCTTGCACAAAAAGGGAAATCATTGTCCCCTTTAGCAAGCATAACTGGAATATCGTTATTTTTGATTATATCCATGTGTCTTCTCTTCCTATGGAAAAAATATCAACCCCACAAAGGTATGTTAAAATGAGAAAAAATGTTTTGAAAATTTTGTACGTGTGTTCTAAAAAGAACCTTACTGTGGTTTCTTTCTCTCTCAATTTTAGTTATAAAACAGAAGCTAGAAGGCAGGTAATGCATTTGTTTCTATGAAAATCATTTTTTTTCTCTTGAATGCTTTTTCCTTAGTTATTCTTGCTAACATAAATACCTATTTATCTTCTCAGGCCAGAAACAGAATACAGGAAAGCTCAAACATTTTCAGGTAATGCCAGGCTGAAAAGGGCTATTATCAATGTTAACGGAAGTTAATTAATATTGTTGATATTAATTATTATACTATATAACATGTTTTTAATGTTATAGAATTAATATAAGCTAAAATTGATATAACACTAGCAATCCCTTCCCTTTGAATAGAGCCTTCACTCTACAAAGTGCTGGCCCTTGCATTGGTTTACGCAGGTCTGTGAGATCAACAGAGTGGAAGGCATTTTCTCAAGTCCACTTTATAGGCAAGAGAACTGAGGATTGGGGAGATTAAATCACTTGCCCAGAGTCACTGAGTTCTACCGAATCTTTTGATCTTAAATGCCAAAGAGCTCTCTCACTGTAATTCCTAAGGTAGATTGAATGCTGGCAGTTGCATCCCAAAGAGCAAAGCAAAGGGAGGTTTGACAGGGACCAGTGCTGCTTCCTTGTCCACGTTGCAACCCTCACTCACTGCCTTCAATACCGACTGTCCTGATTTCTTGTATGTTAACAATGGAGCTTTTGCTCAGGCCATGGACTCACAGGGAGTTTGGTTTCAGTTCCATATATGCTGCTTTCCCCTTATGTCACCTTGGGGAAGTTATTTTTCTTGACCTCAACTTCCTCATCTATTTAATAATAGAGATAAAAACTTCCTCCTAGTGCTGTTATGACAATTAAATAAAATGGTATAGGCAGAGTGCCTAGTATGATGTCTGGATGCTTAATAAATGTGGGTTTTCTTCCTCTTATCTAGCCCTTCCTCACAAAGGGCAGAATGTCAGAGCTGGGAAGAGCCCCCCCAAAACATCTGGTTCCTTCCAGCCAGCTCTACCCGCAGCATTCTGTGGATGAGAGTAGATGATATTGAGATGGATACTGTCTTGTAATGCCTTTTGTATGTATGGGAAGCTACAGTTGTTTATTTGTTCTTTTATGTTCCAGTGGTGTCAGTTAGATCTAGCAGGGTTCAGTATACACTATGGGTGGGTCAAAGGCTGCTGTGACCTCCAGGCTGAAGCCTTGGTGTCCACAAGTCTTTTGTAACTAAGAGTAACAAAGACCAAGCCTGCCCACATGTGTATATTTGAATATATAACATGCTATCCTCAGTTTAGGCTTTAAGAATAATTGTTCCAACTTGGTTTTGAGTCTCTGCTTCAGTAGGAATGATTTCTAATACTGCTTGATGGTAAGGTGACTATAGGGGACTGGGAAATGTTAAATTAGCTTTGTGCACATACCACTTAAGGCAGATAATAAAAATAAGTTTCTGAAAGGTTTTTAAAACAATAGCACATAAAGGCATTTGGTTTGTAAGTAGCATTTGTTTTGCATTTCAGGCCATGAAGATGCTCTGGATGACTTCGGAATATATGAATTTGTTGCTTTTCCAGATGCTTCTGGTGTTCCCAGGGTTGGTTTTTAAAGTGGCTGATTAACCAAGAAGTAGTATTCTGCTTCACCAGAGGTGTAAGCAGCATTCTTTTAGCACTTAGGAAGTGTGGCCAAATGCCCTTCACTGCATTACGCGGTGTTGACTTACTCTCTAATGAATGACACTGTTGGATCTGGGAAGCAAATGCATCTTTCTCAGCCTTTATAAGTAAAGCTAACATAATAAGGAAGTTGTCCTACTTCATAAACATTCTTTTTTTTTCTTTTCTTTTCTTTTTTTTCTTTTTTGAGACAGAGTCTCACTATGTTGTCCTGGGTAGAGTACTGTGATGTCACAGCTCACAGCAACCTCAAACTTTAGGGCTTAAGTGATTCTCTTGCCTCAGCCTCCCAAATAGCTGGAACTACAGGTGCCCACCACAACACCTGGCTATATTTTGTTGCAGTTGTCATTTTGAACCCGCTAGCCTCTGTGTATGTGGCTGGCGCCGTAACCACTGCGCTACAGGTGCGGAGCCTATAAACATTCTTTACCAGATAATTTCAGTGAAGAGAAAACTAACTAGGTCGAAGGGTCAAAAGAACTGAATAAATAGAGGATCACAAGACCCTGGTTTAAATCACCCCTCAGCATTTGGGTGACTGCAGGCCTTCAGATTATGGAACTCTCTCTATTCCTCAGTTTCTCCTTTACATTCCCTACATATCTCTTAATGACATTGGTCATACATACCCTTGAAGGGACTTCATGTTCTTCAAAAGGAAATTACCATATAGACCCAAAGTAAACTGAATAATGACATTGGTCATACCCTTGAAAGGACTTTATGTTCTTCAAAAGGAAGTTACCATATAGACCCA